AGATACGTCGCGCCATCAAAATATATTATGCAAATCGTTGTTTATGTAGCCGGTTCGAGGACGGAAACGGTATCGACATTCATTTGCAATTCTGCTTACAATTCTATATAAAAACAGAGGCAGGGCTATGAATAAATAAATAGTGTAAGAATTGAGAGTTTGTCGGATTCGCGTCGCGTTCACGGCCGCGTTCCCAGCAGGCCATTGTTCTTTGCGTAACCGACTGTGTGACGAGACTGACATGAAACAGCCGACACGTTTAGACCGACACGCTGCAGCAGACATGACGTGATGTACAAGATGTGGCCGATGCGATTCATTACTAGCGCGCAGGTGGCCGGCTCGCGTGTCGTGGTGTCGATTTCTTTTAGCTCCATTGTTGTAATCTGATCGGCTAATCTATGCAAGCACCGATCAACCTTGTTTTATACGTTGCTTATTGTAATTGCTTGAATCTAATCTGTATATCAACGACAAATTAGAATAAAGGTGACTTAAATTGTTAGAGTCGGTCGTGTGGTCACTTTTCATAAATCTTTACTTATCATATAAAGCAAAGTATATAAAATTGAATAAATAAAGTGGTAAATATTGTTAATTCATGCGTCATTACAATTTATACGTTTTATAATGAATATGCAGTAGCGTTTGTTTGAGTATACCATCTAATTAGAGGTTTGATGATTCAGTAGTAAGTCAACGACCTTGATACGACCGGATACGACCGCATCAAGATGTGTACATTTCATCATGCGAGGTTCCGCTCATACGATCCTTAATAAAAACAAAGCTGAGTTTAATTGAAATATAGCGCTCGAGAATTCGACATATCCTCTCTCGTGTCTTGTTAAATTACATTGATTTCAAGTATATAAATTCAACCGTTCTCAGAACGCAATCAAAAATATCATCAAACTATCTAAATATTATGCATCTTTATCGCATTTAGACAATGATTTATTTACATTGTGCTGAGAGTTTTAAAAGTCTTTGATATTGCTTTCATACGAAAATAATTTATGTAAATATCTCGTGATATTCCTCTCGAGTTATGTAAATATTAACTATTTCGTAGTCCTTAAACTTTTAGAACGGTATCCTAATTATCTAAGAGCAAATAATTTGTCTCTCGTTTCTATTATTTTGGCGGTACTTCAAGTCGTCCTCATTACGAGGTCAGGTGGACAATAAAGCTAACATTGGGGCGCCAGTTGACAGCGCATTCCAGCACGCTTCCGCGAAGCCACCCCGCAAAACGTGAGTTTGTGTTGATCGCGTTCACCCCCCAGTCTAAACACACCCCGGCCCTGACGCGCCACCTCACGCCACCCCGGGCACCCCCGGGGGTGAAAGTCGACGCCGTCGGCATGCAAATCTAATATTGTTACTTTATTCTGACTTTACAAGGGCAGTGGGAGGATTTTAGTTTGATAATGTGCATATTAAATAAACGCAACGGAGATTTATGTTTATTGTAATTAAAGCGTATAAACAACGGCATTGTGTTGTTATATTACACTATTATTTATGTTGAGATTTTATTTTTAACATATTGTGACATGTTTGCGTTTTAAATTAACATCCATATTAGGTTATCTATAGAAAGAGAATTGACCAGATATACCTCGTATAGAAATTGTAGACCTAGCGATTTGGTCTTTACGTTATTAGAACAAAATAGTAAAAATGAACCTCTAAATGAAATATTCTCGTGTTATTTTTTGTACCAATTAAAAATTCAATTCAAGATAAAGCAAGACTGAAAGAAAATTACGTTTTAATTACGAAAATTTCATTAATTTCTTTCTAATTTACGGCAACAGTCGCAGGCTGAGTTTTGAATACATTAATATAAATGCAGAGTTATAAAATGCTAGATATGGCGGTCTTGGTGCCGGTGAATTTAACGGCAAATATGTAAAGTTATGCTAACAGTGTGATGTGACGTGCATACACTTATTTGTCGTACGACGCGTTTAGAATGCAGAGAGCTTCGTTAACTAATGATAACATCTGTGAAATAGTAATTTTGCTATTTCATCCCTCAAACTGCACAATTAATTATAAGTAATACATAAATTACATTTTGTATGTATTTATTTATGAACCAAAAAGTTATTTATATCTGAATTAAATAAAAAATAATTTTAATTTTTTTTAATATAATTGTAACATGCCTTGTAAACAAGACTGACTGTACAATGTAAGTACAGACTTAAAGAATTTCTAAAGGTATTATAACTTATATGTTTTGAGTACTACTTAACTATGAAGATTATTTACTGCGTTGTAGCCTACTTTGTATAATTTTCTTTAGTTTACTAAGTAATGAAGCAAATATTGACAACAAAGGTTGATGTTATTAAGTAAATAAGGAAATACTACTGTAAACTTGTGTATAGTTTTAACGTTTACTATTCATGGTTATATTAACCTTAAGCATATAATTATCAATCGTGACATACTGACAAGGACTTATATCGTATATTCACGATATTAGCTACTATTCTTTAACAATTTTAACCGCCAAGGTAACACGTAGTGTTCTTATTTAGTAATATTTATTTGAACCCTACTTTGGGTTCTAAGATCGGAATATTTTCATTGCTTCACCATTCGTATTCTCATATTTATTTATTAATTTTTATGTAAATGTTATAATTAGTATTAGATTTTAATTGTACCGGATACAAAAAACTGTATTTATATTGAAACCATTTAAAAGTGTATTGTTTTGTAGTTATTTCCGAAACTTAACTTCGCAGAAGTCCAATATCTAAATTCCGTTCAACTAACAACAAAAGACTGTACCCTGCGCTTTCTTTGTTACGGAACATAGTAAAACTGTAATACCCAACTTAACACGGATAAGCCTTGTCAAGGTAACTTGGGTAATTACATTGTACTTTACAATATAAAATGTTAAAATACAAGATTACAAACAAGGCAATACAAGGTTTTTTATTCAAATTGACTTTAGCGCTCCCATATATTTGTAACAAGTATTTGGTAATCATAATCACGAAAGTATTTTAATATAATCGGATTTTATATTTTAGAATTTAACGTTGCTCATTAATATTATAAAGGTCACTTATCAAGGCGAGACCGGTCTGAACATAAAGCTATTAGAAAGCAAAAAAATTGCTACAACCCGCATGGAAATTATGCTAATATAAAGTTTTTATAATGTTAACATTCCGGTCACATGATTGCGAAATAAAGAGAAATTAATTAAACAGCTCTCACAATAAAAATAAACAATTGACGTAACTTCGTGTAGATATTAACTAACTGGTAAAGGTTAAAAGAATCATTTGTAATAAAGCTATCTTCCCGTCTTAATCTACTCTCTCCTAAACAAATTTCTAATAAATACAAGATTATCGATGTAAATAAAAATCGAAAAAGTAAACATATCAATTCAAAAGATTATTCATATTTATTGTAACGTAGAAATCATATTATAAGGCATCAGGGGAGTGGGTCTCAACCAAATCCTGACTGTACGCTGTCATGTGCAGCACACACAAAATAAAAATGTATTTTCGCGTCTTTTATCAACGACATAATATTTCAGTCGGCGAAAAACTCTGCCTTTACAAAAAGAATATTCCAATTTCCGTTCAACTTCCTGTTACCAAGTTTTGAATAACGCCATTATAGATTCTTATTAGAATATTTTAATATCAATAAAAAAGAGGCGTTGCCTTACTTAATTTCGTAGGTAAATCAGTTTCATTGTACGATACTAATAAGTGAATCTTATTTGATGATTTGATGATTACAATTTTTACATAACAGAATGTCCGATTTACACAAGATAATTTTAAATGCTACATAAAACAATATTATTATACATTTATACTCTAACAACTTTCAAGGTTATTTAAAAAAGAAACATTGGATTCCAATTGGACGCCATCCATCTTGACTGCAGTTAGAAGTCAAATCGAAAGAAAACACGCTCACATTTATAACAACAACGTCGAGCAGACATGTGAGAAGTAATTTTTACAGCAAAAAAAAGTAGAAAAACTAAATTATCGGGAAAGTTCACTTTTTTCATCGAAAAACTTTATTCATGTAATTTTATCAAAGATAAAGAGAGACATTAAAATACAAACATTGTTCTAATACATTACCTTGCAGAAAGAATTATACTGAGCGGTCTGTTTACGGATGCAGTGTTGGCCAGATGCCAGCTATAGCTTTAGAGATGCTAAAATAGATGAGTTTGGCTTAAATTAGACGAGACGTGTACGTGTAAATAAAACAATTGAGATAATAGCCAATACCGCATTGAGGTAGTACTGAGAAAAAAGTTCAACACCATTTCAAATTTCTGTATTACAATTTTCGTACGAAAAGTTATGCAAGTTACCGATAGACTGCTATTACTTTAACCAAAGTGTCACTACGTTGAAGCAACGTTGTTATACTGCCCTATGAGCAATCTTTCTACTACAATACATATCAAAAATTCATGTCTAAGCCTAAATGCATCAAAACTTTTATTTATACAAGACATAAAATATTTATATAACTTTCCAATACGTAGGAAACTATTAAACGGTTATCCCATCCACTAGCAGAGTAAGTAAAGAAACAATGAATGCATGTGAATGGCCTCAGCCACTCCTAAAAAGGCAGTGGCTCGGGCGAATCTATGGGGGCTTTTGTGACGGTCCAGTTACGTGTTCTCTATGTTGAGGAACGCAGACAAGATTACTAACAGAAGGATGACGATAGAGCAGAATTATTCAAGTTATTCAGTGACGTTTTGAGAATATTATATTACTACGAATTGTATTGTTTAGAGCCGCTTGTTTAAATCCGTCAGAGAATTATTACATCCCACACAAACTTAGCTTTTGTCTCCCCGTAAGCTATCACTGCCGAGACAGCTCTACAAAAACTAATTGTTGTCTTTTTGATTATCATTGAAAAAAACAGAGATAGCAGCAGTGGAAACTCACAATACGACTGAATGAACTTACCAGTTTGTTGCTGTGGTGGAGGTTCAACCGAAGCGATCTGTCCGTTGCTTCTGACTGCCGCTTGTTTCTTTCTCCCTCCAGTCGTTGCCGGACTCTTGTTGTTTTCTCTCTCAATCCTCTGTTAAAAACAAAAATATTTAAAATTCAATAGGTATTTCAGTAAAGGAGTAAGCAGTTAATAAAAAATTGATTGTTATGTCCACATTGGTTTAACAGTTGTTAGTCGGTTTTATGACAATGTTTTGACGACAAATTCATTTCAACGACAATCACAAATGAGTTCATTTAATGTAGGTACAACGGTGTGCGTTTTAATATCCTCAAACATCTTTAAAATGAAATCATTCGTCTGTAAAAACGTAATCCACTTATTTCGGCTGACTGTGGACGTTAAGAGTACAAATTTCGTTGAGTCACGACTCAGGGCGTCTACTGCTGAGTCACCGTTTGGCCGACGATAGCATTCCTATAACCGAGCAATCGTTCGAGCGCTGACTTGCTATAATGATCTGCCACTATGAGTACCGTTGTACCACTGATTAATATATGATAATGGTTAAGTAACAATATAAAAGACTTTTAATTACTTTACAAAACAGCTTTCACATCTTAATAATAAGAATGTGTAAGTCCGAAAATAGTATGAGGTAAAACGTATCATTATTTTTTTCTGTCAAATGAAACCTTTTCCTTTGAGGTAATAATAACTTAATTAATCCTTTAACGATTAAAAGCAGTCAAACAGCTGACCCAAGGTTGTTATCGATAAAAATTCTGCAAAAACATGAAAGAAACTAGGGTGAGTTATTGGCGAGGGTGACCGACACAAAACGTTAAGCGCTCGTGAAAAATGATGCAGTTGTGTGTGTTCGGCTGCGGGGGTTGGGGATTAGGGTGGGATGGTGGCTCACGTGTTCAGTGGGCTGGGGTGAGCGGACGTCGCAGTTGACTGTTTATGTGCAAAGATACTACGCTTTGACAGCGCGCTGCGTCATCGGGAAATTGACAAACAACCAGTTTACGTGGTTCAGGAAAGTAATTTAAAAATTACTTTGACTCATAAAGCACTTTGCTTTCCGTTTCAAAGGTAACATTTACAATTTATTATGAATGCTAATTCTATCGCCGCGTGTCTAAAATATTAACTTGGTTCTTAGCATATCTTACTTAGTTTTCATCATGCAAATTACTAACAAGCTTTTAAAAATAGTTTTGACATTTAAAAGAAACCAAAGTATCGTTAAACATCAAAAGAATTTATGCAAACTCTATAAATATTTTCTGCTTCAAGAAAAATATTAAAACAGGAAGTCATAAATAAAATTTCGTAAAAAAAAATAAACGGTTACTAAATAAGTTGAGCACAAACAGAAAGTTTTGAAAAGTTAATTATAACTTTACATTTGAGCTGAAAGCAGCGAAAGCTGCAAGTTCCTTGCCACGATTGTTTGTTATTGGAAGCTGTTTGCATTGCTAGAATAGCTCTATAATTATTATTTACGATTATATTGTGTATAAGGCTCCAAGTGCTTTGTGAAAACTGAAGAGGGTTAAATAGGATAGAAAATAGACATTTGTATATGAGTAACAAGGGAAAGGTGCAAATCTAAGACCGTCGGTGCATAAAAGCTACTAATTACTAAAGCTAATGTAATTCTTGCAAAGACAAAACTAAGTGGAGTAGTTATAAAACACAAATTGGAAGCTGGTCGTAAAGTGAAAGTGAAATGTGGCATTAAGGAGAAAGTGCGTCCACACAGCACTCTTGACTGACCTACGCAATATTAAAACAAAGTAGGACACGGTTATGCTTGCAGAGAATCAAGTGGCCGTGACTGCATATCAACGTAACATCATTATTAGTTATCGGCAAACCATTTTCCCATTTCAAGAGATCTTGCATAACAATAATTGGCAATACGATTGTTCCCGTAAATGTCACCGAATGGTGATGCCAGAATAAATAGTAGTTGTACAGAATGTGTCAAAGATTTAAGAAAATACCCGGATAATTACGCACTTTTACAGTAGCTTTAATTACAAATTGGTAATATTATGTTATGATTAGTTAAGGAACTAATTGAACAAAATTGTACATATTACAATCCATATTATTACTACTAACATAGGGGTACAGAAAGAATATATTATAGATCTGCTTTTATCATTGATTTACATTGACCTATAATATATCAACCAGCCCGCAGAGCGATGCTGTCAGAACATATCAGAAATACCAGCTCTTTATCTGGGCGAACTAGTTTTTTCATGTCTACTTAAGGATAAAAGTTAACATAGAAAAACGAGTCAATCAAAGAGAAGAATTCGCCGATATTTATCAGCGTAACCTTTCAAAAGAAAGAATCAAATAACCATTTGACAAAACTGTTTCTTTTATCAGTGAAATTTAGGTTAACCTTTGTATGTTACAATAAGACATCGCGAGTCCCAACTTGATCCTTTCTCGTGTATTTTCGCTAACATAATAAATCAACTGTGTCGGATATACCGGGAAAAGCAATTTAGCAATGTTGAACAACCTGTCATAAATAACGATATTCTAGGAATATGTTTTCTCAAACGTAATATTACACAAAATATAAATTACTAGTATTGAATAATATACATTCCATAAAAGAATGTATGAATACATTCACAGCAAAACTAATTTTAAGTTTGAAAGTCGAAATGTGCAAAGAAATTAAGAGTTGCTTTGAACGTATAAAGAAGTGAATTAAGGTAAAGTAGCAGCAAAGTAACTGCAATGCAGACATCATACATCAACCACAAAGCAGTTTCATTGCCAGCAACGACATCAAAGCACGCTGACCGGCACAAACACTATCCTATTCGTGCAGTATCGCAGCCTTTGAACGGGAGCCTTTGATATGCACAATAAACCCACCGCCCGCCCTCCTGGCCCGAGGTAAATGCAAACTAAGGCTGTACATTGCTACCTGATTCTATTATACACATCTGTGTCGGACAACATCCTTAGTTATGTTTATTAAATTACCGGCTCCGAATGATATAGACGCATAATTTATATAACTGTTAAGTAGTTGTGTATTTTAATCAAATAAGCAAAAAATTGTCAAACAAATAAATAAAGCTCAATAATATATGACTTTTTTCCTAGAACTAGTAAAATATAAAACAATCAATTGACCTACTAAACTTAAAAATGCTATTTGTTAAAAATGACAATAACCCAATAATCAACATGAACGAATCTCCCGACGGACATTAAACTCGCAAATGCCTCACACCGACGCATAAATTCGTCACGAACCCCGCATTATAGGTATACAGGATGCTCGATGGCGGGTGAACGGCCCATTGAGTACACAGGGTGATTTATTTTCGTTTACCTCTAGGGTTGACGTCCGCCGCGCCTTTTAATGTAATGTGGAATATTCTACCTGCCATCGTTTCTATTGTAACAGCCATTGTTATATTCCCTTTCATCCAAAGTACGCTAAATAGAAAAATAATTGTGAATTTCGTGTACCGAATTACAATTTTATTGTAACATTCAATTTATTAAATACATATTTCAAATAAGCACGTCAATCAATAAAAACATACTTCAGTAATAAAGACTAAAAAGACCAGTTATTGATTTTTAACGGTGTTCGACAAGTACATAATGGGCATTAAAGGATTACATAATGCAGACGGTAAATTGCAAGTCATTACGCAAGCGAGCGGCTCCACGCCGCCGCTGACCTTTGCCTGCTCAGTACTTGTTTACTCTTAAATACGAAATAGATACAATCTCTTACTAGCAAACAACTCACATTCTTTACAACTTTCATTTCATTTACATAGAAGGGCAAATTTAACCAACCAATCAGTGCTATTTTATTCTACCCAAAGTTTCGTTTCCTTTATAAGCAATTTTTCCACAAGTCATAAACAGCTAAATGTTATTTGTAATTTCATATGTACGCAGTTGTGGAACTTTGAATAACCATAAAATATCATACAAACAAACCTTTATGCCGTCATTAGACTTTACAAATAAATATAATTCTCATTTCCAATAACTTGATGTCATGTCGAAAGATATCAAACATGTTTTGCAATTCCACAATAACTTTCTCAGGGTCCGGCAAAGGTAAAACGTAACCGGCTCAGGTACACGCGGCCGACATGTTCCCGGTACATTTATCTCAATCTCGAGGGCCCCAGCGAGTGCCGGAGGGCAGAGAGTGCAACACGACTCGTCGGACCGGTGCCCTCCCCTCTCTGCCCTCATACAAACCGGTATCCTAGCCCGCGCCCCAAGCTTTACTCCGTTTCTAACAAGATTGAAACTTAACTAACATACTTATCGACCGTAAAAGGCAACCGTAATTATTTTGTTCTTCATACTATAATAACTGTCAATTAAAATTCTTTGTAAATTAAAAATACTTCTACAATATAAATATCATTAGTAACAAATACGTAACATGACATCTTTGTATAAATGATTTAGACCGAGACATTAAAAAGTAAAAGCAAAGAGATTTATTTCAAAACTTCACCGACAAAAAGTTGGATGAGCTCCAAATGTACCTTATTCACGTCTCGTGCAGTCGCAATGTCTCAAAGAAACAGGTAATTAATCTACGCGAGCGCGGAGACGGAATGTGGGTCAAAATAATAAAGAAAAGATTAACTACCACTTGTATTGTGCACTAACTTACATTGGCTTCGTCGCGTTAATGTCTTACAATGGAAATTTAAATAAACACGAACAATACAATTAGCTTAGACCCAAGGTCAAACGTAATGATAGCGAATTATAAAAGAAAATAGCAATGAGTTTTTATTTGCCTTACGAAAGCCTGAGCAGCTCGTCGTGACTTCATTACAAAAATATAATGATAAAACGTAATATTGCATCTCAAATGCAGCGATTATAAATTTAAATCAAAAAAAGGCAAAGACGACATATACGACCAGTCTGGTACGCGACCTAAAACTTATTCAACGGCCAATCTCAATAAAGTGATCCATTTTATAAATTTATAACTCCACATACAGATTTTATTAAATGAAAAAATATCAAAGAAAAGACATAAAATCATATCCGCAAACGTGTGGCAAAAACTGGAATTTTATAAATTC